TATATATATATATATACACACACACACACACACACACACACACACATACATACATACATACATATACATACATACATACATACATACATACATACATACACATACATACATATATAAATTTTGTTTGTTTATGAACCAAATACTAAAAACTATTTATTTACTCATATGAACTACCCAGTTGACATAACCGACAGCAAGACGAGCAATCAACAAATCATTTGTTAATTATTTCTTTGTCTTCACCTTAATTATGAATATCTTGCTTCTGGATAATAAATTATATGGATATCTTTTCCTGGTTACTCCTAAAAGGTACAATCACAATATACTGCAAAACATAAAGAAAATAAAATCTATTATCACATTATAACTAACGGTTATTTTGTATGAATCAAATTGAGTCTGATACAAGAAAGGCCCACTAATGTTAATTTCTCGTTAGAATCTAAATTTGTTTAGCCTCTAGGGAGCAGATATACATGCAATCTTAGAAGGACAATTGCACCTCTAAGATTATGGAAATTTTTTCTAGCCTCTCAATCTAACTTTTTTCTAGCCTCTCGGGGGAAGATACACATGCAATCTTAGGAAGGTAGTTGATACTTATCTCTTCTTCAGAGTTGGGGAATAGATAGGATTATTACTATAAGTAACAAGGTTATCCCTTTACTTGTCCAAAGAGTTGTATTAGTAAACCCCTCTTTTTTTCTTTTTGCGTTTCTTATTTTAAATCCTCTAGAATGGTTGTTTTAATCCTTTTGTAATTTTGCATTTGGCAAATTAAGACAGTTTAACTCACTTTATTCCCTGTGTAAATTTGTGTGTATGAGTGTGTGTGTGTTGGTTCTTTTTTTAGGTGGGGGTTGTTTTCTTTTTTTTTATGTTTTGTTTTTTTGTTTTGTTTTTTTTTTTGTGTGTGTGTGTGTGGGTTAACACATTGCCAAACAACACTAAGAAATAAAATTGGTGTCATCCTCCTCTTATTATTTTTTTGTTTTTTGCGTGAGAGACACAGAGAGGTGGGCACCAGAGACTCATAAAATACAAAATAATGTAAGGTAAGCTTGGCAGAAATTGATCCCATTCCGTCTTCTAAATCTGAAAGAAATAGTTTCAATATTGATTATTATTTAATGCTACCCACATCAACTTAAGCACCTTCCTTTTTTTTTAAGTAGACTAACACCATATTAGGCTATTAATATTTTTGATAGAAGATTAATATTAATTATGTTTATTTACATTTCCACAATAATTAATATTAATTATGTTTATTTACATTTCCACAATAATTAGTTATGCATTTAATTATATATTGTTTATAAATTAATATTTTCCCCCAAAGCCCTAGAGTCAAATCCGGTCACCATGATCACCCCATCTGCCATTTTCAGTCTTCCTTCTAAGAAGATTATTAACACACTCAAAAGCCTACATCAACACCATCAGTCTCTTGCCCTCCTCAAAACATCAAATTTATCCCTCCCAGGTACCTAGTTGGAATTCATATCATATAACTGACACTAAGTAATGAGAAATGTGAATACGGACCTTTTGAATCTTTGTCCTTTTTCTTTTTCTTCAGGAGCTTTCCTGAAGATCCAAGTCGAAGATATGACATGATTTTAGCTATTCGGTCAAGAACTGAACTGTCCACACCAACAGTAACCATCTCCTGCAATAAAAGAAAAATATGAACTTATAGATACTTCAAACATAGAAAATGAATGAATCGTAAAAGATAATGAAAAGTAAGGACCTCTGGAACCGGGCAGTCGGCTTTGCTTCTATGCAGGGTGGTAGGGATGTCATGAGAAAAACTGTCCTCCTGCCAGAAGAATAAGTAAGTTTTGATGTACAAGAACAAGTGAATAAAAGGATAAATTTCACAAAGACCCCCTTAAGTTTGAGCATTTCTCAGATAATCCCCCTTAACTTCTAAAATGTCATAAAACCCCCTTAAGCTTTGGGGCTCTCAAAAAAACCTTCAACTTTCTACGTTTTTTTAAAAAAAAAACTAAAGGCATGAACACAATGTTCACTGGCAAAAATATTCCCGAGTAATTTTACCCACCCAGTGAAAATTGTGGTCAGCAGCGTTAGGGGGATTTTTTTGAAAATGTTGAAAGTTGAAGGGCGGTTTCTAAGAACCGCAAAACTTAAGGGGGTTTTGTGACATTTTGAAGTTAAGGGCGTTATCAAGAAATGCCCAAACTTAAGGGGCCTTTCGGAAAGTCAACCTGAATACAAAATACAAAATGTCAAAGCCTCCAATAAGCATACAGGATTGGAACATGCAAGTCCAACTGTCCAACTATAAACATATACAAACGCATTTCCTAAGTGTACTTACTGTTACCTTTGTATTCTTAAGGGATCAAAATTATCAGTGCATAATCTCTCTAGTAATACACTGTGCTTTTCTAGATGCATACAGCAAGCTTCCTACGTACAATTCTTTTCAAGAATATAAATAACTTTAAATTCTGCAGAATTCTAATCATGAGCCCAAAACGTCTAGAAATCCTATGTTTGTAACAAGGTTTACTAAAATTCTGAAAGAGAAACTCAGACCTGAAACTCTTTGAAACTTCCATAATGAAACCACATTCAAGATTGAATACCTAATACCAACCTGAATTGGGGTCTTCCAACATTGATATATTGATCTATTGTCATATGCTTAAAAAATAAAAAATTATACTAAACCCTTACCCTTGACAATGAAAACCAGTTGTCTAAGAAAAATAACCTGACAAAAACATTTCACGCATGTGCTAGATGATATATACCAGTATACAAAATATTCCTGCATGTTTTAAATCTGGATTTCGAGTGAGCGAGTCTACAAAGAAAACGACAGTCTGCCTTTGAAGCGCGGTACGGATATGGAGTCGGTGAGCTTTTGAACCCCACTCTAGTCTTCTAGCCTCGTGAGCAGGCTAGTCGAGAGAGAAGAAGAAGAAGCTTCTCACCCGAACCCCACTCTAGTCTTCTAGCCTCGTGAGCAGGCTAGTCGAGAGAGAAGAAGAAGAAGCTTCTCACCTAAGTGAACTACGAGAGTCAGTCTCTCATTTAGGAGATCAGCTCAAGCGAAGGTCTTCCTATTTTGGATTGGAGCGGCTAACTTCAATAAAACTATACAAAGGAACCTCATGACCAATCCTATCAACTGCATGACCAACCACGATGAATCCTGTCATTATGTACATCTATCTATACAGAGAATGGAATCTAAGTATCAAGTGCAGAGAGCTGTAACTTTGCAGATTGGATCAAACCTGACCATGAAACAATTCAAACTTAACCTGAGTTTGAGGTCAAATATTTTCGTTTTGAGTAAGATACAGTTTAAACCCTGACCCAATTTTAGATAGGTTGGATTTAGGCTAAGATGCGTGCCAGCTAACCCAACCCAACCTGACTAAAGTACTTAATGCCAACCAGCTAGTTTCATGAAATAGCAAAGCCAACTCTTCATTTGTAACTCATGGATATCAATATATACAGGCTAGTGCTTATATAAAAGGATGAGATCCTTAGAGATTACATGTTGTGTCAAAAGAAGCAAGTACTTTATCAAAAGAAATTGAGTATTTAGCAGTCATAATGTGGTGATTAAGGACTGTGTATGGCAGTAGTGCTAGCAACTTGAGTGAGAAAACCCATCTCCCATTACAAAAGGCTCCGTGAAAGCTCAGCACATTAATCCCTTATCCCTGATATAATGACAACACAACATAGTAGGTCTGTAGAATAAGGCTCTTTTTGGTGTATGTTTCTTGTTGATTATATCATTCTACTTAAGAGGATGGAAACAAACCAAATCCCAGACAAAAAGGAGAATCTGTAGAAATTAAAAATTTAGAATCGCGTAGGAGAAAACATTCTATAAAATGTAATTTTCAGTAAGGCACTGAGAAAGGGAGGATATAGTCAATACCAAAAGCAAAAAATATGACTGATCACTTTTTTACTTGCAATCAAAAGCTCGTCACTAACGTGAGCTTATGGAGAATGTTTTCTTAAGAACTAAGGCAGGATGGCTGAAGTGGAGAAATGTCCACAGTATTATGTGATCATATAATAGTCCATGAAGTGAACAGAATTTTCCACTAGATGGCTATAAGATCAGTTATAATTTAAAGGAAAAATGTCAAACATTCAAGAAAAATTATGTTCAAGAGATGAATTTATCTGAAAACGAGTAAGCAGCCATTGTGAGAAAAGACTGAATGTGTTCATTCGTGGAAAATTAAGATAACATCAATAAATGATAGAAAATTAGCCAGATTAAGCATGTAAGGAGACTATTAGAAGCTGCAAATGAAATATGAAGGCTTCTAACATAGCTGTGCCCAGATTAAGCATGTAAGGAGACTATTAGAAGCTGCAAATGAAATATGAAGGCTTCTAACATAGCTGTGGAATACCAGGATAAGGGATAGAGCAAAGAAGCTTGAATAGAAGCTGCAAATGAAATATGAAGGCTTCTAACATAGCTGTGGAATACCAGGATAAGGGATAGAGCAAAGAAGCTTGAATTGAAGCTGCAAATGAAATATGAAGGCTTCTAACTTGACTAAATATTCATCTACAGACAAACAAAAGAAAAAGAATTCAGAGAGCCGACAAAAAATTGAGATAACAGTATTCATTATTATCATTTTGCAGCAGAATTCATAAGGTAATCCACCAGATTTGACATAAAGAGTATACAGCTCTGTTTCAATTCGATTTTGCATTCCTTTTCGTAATTAGAACCAGTACAGAATGATAAATGAAAACATATAGAAAAGATCATCCATATTGAGCTCCTAGTGTCATAACGATCTCTAGACAGATGGATGCTTGAGTGACAGCTGCGTTAAAAAACTAAAACAAACAGTAAACATGCAGGAATATTCTACTTACTAAGATCCAAGAAAACAATGAAGAGGGAGAATCAAGAAAAGTGTTACCATATTAAAAATAAATGACATTCGACCAGGAAGAAACATCTCGTTAGCCTTAACAACGGTCTGTGGCTTGACCATCCACTGGTACACTGACTGTAAGATAAACATTAAGTAACTAAGAGATGAAAGAAAGTGTCTCATACCACTACCACAGCATGATGAAAAAATGAGCTAGTTTATGATTTCTAGGATTTCACACCTTTGCAGTTGCAGTACGAAAAGAGAGTTGTTTATCATCCTTAGATGCTCTGGAAAGTAAATAATAAAAGAAACACCCATGTTAGAACTACATGATAAAATAAGGTGCAAATCATTAGCCACTGAAAACATAGATGAAAACTGACTGATATAAAAAAAGTAAACAGAATACATGCTCCAAATATTAAATTAGTAGCTGCTATGCCACTTGCCTAGCATATGAATATGTAAAAGTATAATCCCAAGTTAGGCACTAGATATGTCAGTGAAAAACAGTTAACCTGCAAGTTATATTAACAAAAGACTGACGAAATTTTTCATTATAATATCAATTTTGGCTCTTCGGATTATACTATGCAAGGTTATTAGATGATATTATCATCACATAGATTATAATTGAAAGTATAACTGCAAATGTATTTGCTAGAATGTTCCACTTATATTGTATCACAATTCCGAGTATAAGAGAAATTTGGTGGATTGACGCTCTGCGATATGAACTTAGGATTATGGATACACAGATCCCTACAGACTAGAAATGGCTTTTCCCCCCTTCCTATGAGGCATGCCCAATTTTCTGAACAGACACTTGGTCGTCCAAAAGATAATAGCTGGTGATTATTAGTTGGTTTGACCTTTCTGTGAAGCCTTTCAAGCAATGTGGTCCACCGAGGGACTGATTGACAGTAAAAGCAAACTGATCAAGACTCAATGGATGAAAATTTCAGGTCATCTGGCAGTTTATTAACATTATTGAGCCTGAATTATTAGACATCTTAGTTAGTTAATGCAAGACAAGCATATGTGAAAACAAACAGAAACCAAAGAATTGAAATCCTTTATTATGTAGTTTAATCAGACATAGGAATTCCTTAATTTCCCTAAATAATCAGCTAAAGCACTATTAAAGACAACTGTCTCTCAGGAAAAATTACATTTAAGCACTAGAGATAGACAGTGTGAATTTTTTCGCAATCTCCACATCAATAGAAAGGTATATCTATGAAAGAGATGACCAGCCATGTGAAAAGATGATCAGCTGTCACAAAGTATTTCCCCTACAAAAATCAGGTGTGTAAGATCATGCACCTTGCATTTCCATCCTTTTCATCTTCATCGTCTGGTTTTTTGTCAATTTCACTCCGAACCTTGTTAAGTAAAGCATAATCCAAACCCTTGACCAAATGTGTATGCTCTACGTCCCCTGAAGTAAGCAAAATAAAAAGAAAAACAGAGTTACTAGACCACATATTTTAACTAACAATCGTCGAAACATATTTTTTCTTAAAATCTGACTCTTACAAATTTATATTCTAAAAAACAAGAAAACAGCCTAGGGGACTAATTAACTCAATCTGACAAAGAAAAATCAGCATACTAACCTCCAAGATACTTGCTATTCTCAATGGATATTTTGTGCGCATCAGCTATTCTGCAAAGGTAATGTTGTGCAATATAATACACTTCAAAAACTATTAACAAAATTGTGACTTTTGACATAGTTATCAAACTTGACAAAATGATTTACCTTAAATCAACAGTCCCAGGAGGTGCTACTGCATGAAACGAACCCAACTCAGTTGGCTCATAATCAGGGTTCAGGTCTTCTCTGCGTTCCTTAGCACGGTCTCGGTACTTTGGAAGTTCCGCCTCTTCTTGTTTTTCCTCTCTATTAAACAGAAAGCATTTTACCTTAGACTTTCACACAAAGAACCAATCAACGAAAGAAAAGCAGGAAAAGAAGGTCAACCTTACAAGCAACATAAAAAGTTGACAGTGTCGAATACACAACCAAAATGTAGTTATCGCGTATTGCAACCATTTGTGACATGAAATAGTTATAGAAATATATAATCAGAAGTAACAAGTACATCTCAGGATGTATTTTGATGACATTAAAATATATCCCATGTTAAGCAAGCATTTTCAAGCCAGAACATGGGAGCTATTCAGATATCTTAGAAGAAAGGGAGTTATCAAGAACTAATGGTGTTCCCTGCCAGGCATGTATAACTGCAAATGTTAACTGCTAGGTAATTGCTCAGGAGAAGAACCAACCATCATGGACCATTATCCACTGGCTCAGTCCTTTTATATGTATAAAGCAATAGGTATCATACACTCCTATCGTGAGTCCTTGTCAGACATGTATGATTGTTGTTCTCTACGTACTTTTTCAGAATTTATCATGTGTTGGTCTGTCATGTTGCGTTGTTAATGTGGGTATGCGTGTATCCATGCAACAGCTAGAGTACGATCACTTTTCTCGACTTGCTTTGAAATTATAAGCTTATATAAAGAATTAAAGATAGGTGTTGTTGATAGATTATTGAGCCAATTAGCTAGTTCAGTTGAAGAATAACAAAAAAAGGCCATATTAAGTGAGAGTATCCGAGCATCAGACGACAAACAACTTTTTTATGCAAAACTTCAAGGAGTATGCTGGCTCCCTTCAGCAGAAAGTAAATAACAACAGCCTCCAAAGTCAAAGTATAAAGCCAACTGGTCCTACTCCCATTGTTTTAAATATCCCTAATATAGCCAATATATCAGCCGACATATCCTTTTATAAGCCATGTCGCAAAACAATATGGTCTTGATATCCTTTACCATGCTTTGCAATTTTGGGCGATATATCCCCAGTGTGACTGATTTATTAGGTGATATGTTGGCCGATATGTCCTTTTATATGGCTTGTCCGGGGAAATTTGGCCTAAATTCTTACACCCCAAATTGGGGTGTAATGGAGGGGAAGGGAAGGAAGGGGAAAAATTCCCCTTCCTTCCCCTTCCTTCCCTTCCCTAAGTAAACTCCCAAACACACCATTAATGTTTTTTAGCAACAAGTCCAGTCCTATAAAGTTTTTTAGTAAAATCTAGTAGGCTCTTTTTCCTAAGTAAGTTTATATAATTGTTTAGTGATCCTAATCTTATATAATTTATATTATTGTACGCGTAGATTTCATGGAGTGTGTTTAGATAACATTTTACAACATTATACTACATATTCACATTTCTAATCTTATATAATTTATATCATTGTACCCTAAGCTTCTTATCGAAGTTTTTTCTTCAATTATGCACCTCTCTTCAATAATTTCTACAGTTAGCCCCCAAAATTAAATTACAGCAGAATAGAATTTTTTTTTTTTTTTTAAGTGAGGATGAGAACTCACTTCCTTCGAAGCATCTTCTCCTTGTGAAACTTGCGCGCTGACGCCATGGCCGAAACTTCGAAGCAAAACGAAGTAAGAGAATAGAGATGGAGAGAGAGGCCGTCGGAAAAGAGACGACGTCGCCGGAGGAAATCGCCGAGAGCGGGAGAGGCGATGAGGACTCAGTGAAGGGGACAAATCGCCGGGAAAACCTTGAGCTAGGGATTTTTATGGGATCATGTAAGGGGCCTGTGAAACGAGGTTGGGCTTGGGCCGTTTGATAATGAAGATGGGCCCGTAGTTGTCGGCAAAAAGCAATTTTAATATATTTAGGCACGCGGAAATTGGCTGGCCCAAAAAAAACGACACATGATTTTGGATTTTTTTTTTTTTTTTGGTCCGTTTGCAGTTTTAATGCGAGGAATTTTGGTTGGGACAGGATCTCCGAGTTCGAACCCTCACCTCAGTCTTGTGAGTTCGAACCCTCCACCTAGGGGTGTTAACGGAGCGGATACGGCTCGGATATGACACTTATCATATCCATATCCGCTTACCTATCTCGGATATGAATACGGATACAGATATACGTCGGTAAGAAAAATTCATATCCATATCCGCCAAAATCGGATACGGTTACGGATATAGATGCGGATATATAAACGGATATGCATGCGGATACAAAAAGGATATGAGAAAACTAGATAGTATTCAGAAAAATATAGTCATATGATACAAAAAGAGTTCGTTAATATGTTCATTATGATTGAAAAGCTAAGATTGGACATCTTGATCATCAAAATTAACCACAAATCCATAATCTAAGAATCGAAACTATCGTAAGAGTATGACCAATATGTATTCGGGTATTTTCGGATACGGATACGGATATTTCACTACAAAACCATATCCGTAACCATATCCTATCAGTTATAAATTTGAGTAACCATATTCGTATCCTAACGGATACGGTTACGGATATTTCCTCGGATACGGATACGGATACGGTTTGGCACCCCTACCTCCAACATATGTTCCAATGCCTACTAATTGAAAAATTGGGATAGACATGTCATAAGATATAGATCGATCCTTAGCATTGTAAGCAAACTAAACTTTTATAAAGAAGCTTTATTTAGTGCATGAAGGTTAACCTTATGGATGAGCCTTTAGTGTGATGAAGAAAACATGTTTATATCATTTTGAAAATTTTTTAAGGATTAGAAATATGGATTCCTATTTCTCTTTCGGCTCTCCTTTCTTCCTTCTTGACTCTTATCCTAATTTTCATCACATTCCTTTAATTTTATCCGTACATTATGACTTCTAGTCTGTTTTATAAATACATAACATTGGTCTAATTAACATTCTATTTTATCAATACATAACATTTGGTCTAAGTGATGATGTTATTTTTGGTTCGTGACGCAATCCGTAGAACCTACCTATACTATCCATCTATTAATTATACCTTCGTCTATACTATACTATACTATACTATACAAATAAAATAGTTGTCATTGATTGTAAAGCTGGAAGCAGCGGTGAAGCCAGGAATTTTTTGATGTGAGGTAAATGTAAAATTATAGCAGTACATTAAGTTCGTATTTAGCCAAAAGCTATAAAGTATTTATGCTAAGGTGAGGCAAAATACGTACTCACAAGATCATATAGAAAATACCAATTGCACCATAATTCTCATATTGCAGAATTCATATTATTATTATAAACAAGAAATTAACTAAGTTGTGATTGACATTCTTTCATTGAACTAAACTTATCTACAATTGGATTTGTGCTAAGTTTCTTAGTAATCCTTTTACTATGTACAAGATCAAGGAATCATTCAAGAATTAATGTTTCATATTGTTCTGAAGCTTTGTCTTTACCATCTTCATGATTAAAAATGCCCATTCAGTAGTTGTCATTGATAAGGGAAAGTAAGCACAAGCCTAACCAATCTTTTTAAATGATCATAGATGATTTTTTTTCATAACCATAAACTACATATATTAATTCTCATATTACAAAATTTATATTATTCTAACAACAACTCATCTATAATTAGATTTGTGCTAAATTTCTTAGCAATCCTTTTTCTATATACATGATCAAGGAATCATTCAAGATTCTATTTTTTATATTGTTCTGAAGCTTTATCTTCACTATCTTCACGATCAAGAATGCTCATTCGATAGTTGTCATTGATAAGGGAAAAGTAAGCACAAGCCTAACCAATCTTTTTGAATGATCATAGATGATTTTTCCATTACCATAAACTATAAATACTAATTCTCATATTACAAAATTTATATTATTCTTATAACCAACAACTTATCTATAATTGGACTGTGCTAAATTTCTTACCAATCCCTTTTCTATACACAAAATCAAGGAATCATTCAAGAATCTATTTTTCATATTGTTCTGAAGCTTTGTCTTTACTATCTTCATGATTAAAAATGTTCATTCAATAGTTGTCATTGACAAGGGAAAAGTAAGCACAAGTGTAACCAATTTTTTTGAATGACCATAGATGATTTTTCCATAACCATAAACTACAAATACTAATCTTTTTGAAGACATGAAAAGTTGACTATAAGCTATAAATTATACCATTAAATCTTATTCCAAACAATAATAAAAATCAAGGGAACAATTTTAAGTTGTATATACTTTATATAAGTTAGAATAGGAAACAAGATGAAGTTCTTTGAAATTATGTGCCTTTATCTCGGTACGCCATATGATGAACCAGTCAACTGGAAATTTCAGATTTAACGTACAACATTTTGAAAGAGGAAACCATTGTTTGAAAACAAAATAACTTAGTGTATATATATTGTCTTCGAGTATGGGTGTTGCACTATTAACTACCGAACAAGCTACATGCCCGCAATTTAGTTAATAGGCCCACAAAGCTAGGCCCAAAACATTGCTTTTATTTCATAAAAGCTCATAGGCCCAAAAACTTANAGTTATATCACTTTTATATTACTATACATAAAAAAGTAGAATAGGGATCCTCTCAAAACGCCCCGTGTGCAAGTGAGCGGTTCTGAACTGCAAAAACAGGGATGGATAATCACAGGCTGCCCCTATTTTTCTCATTTGCATCTAAAAACAACCAGCTCGCATGCATGTAGTTCTGAGAGAATCTGAACTCAAAAAAGTGGTCCTTTCCTTGTAAATTGCATGTACAAAATATCTATTGAAATGGACCCCCACTGTTTTATATATAGTAGTATAAGAAAAATACATGCATCTCAATTAACATAAGGTTAATTGAGTTCTGAGAGAATCTGAACTCAAAAAAGTGGTCCTTTCCTTGTAAATTGCATGTACAAAATATCTATTGAAATGGACCCCCACTGTTTTATATATCCTACAATTAATAATTTTTTTAAAAAAATTCTCTATACTTCTCCATCTCAATTAACATAAGGTTGCCAACTTTGTCACTTTAATTATTCATTTATAATTTATAATTGCGTTTATCAGTACCAACACTTTGATAATTAGGCCATTAATTGCACGGACCCCATAAAAAACTAGCTGGCTTTAAATCCAAGTGAACCCCGTGTATGTTTTAGGCTCTGTTCGGCAAAACTAGCTGAAAGCTGCGAGATTATACCTGAAAGCTGTCAAGCTAGCTGAAAGCTGTGAAATTGTAGCTGAAAGCTGATAGCTGTGTAGCTAGCTGATTGACTAAAGCTGTTTGGCAAAAGAAGCTGTACAACTAGCTTAAATTTGTTAAATGACTAAAAAGGACATGTAATATTATTGATATAAAGTTAGAATTATTAGGGCTAAAAACGGAAGAAAAAATTGACAGCTCATTCCCAAAGACAAACGCTACTTGAGATAGCTTTCCAAAAGCTACTTGTAAAAGACATAATCTTCAAAATAATCTCCTCCTATTTTTGATCACCAAACAGCTCTACTAGCTTATTGACCAAGTCAATAAGACACACACTCTTAGATAAGACATTTTTTTTTTCCAAACAGTACCTTAATCACGTTAGTCAAGTTGTCTCACGTGCGACCCACATTCCTTGGCTCTTCGAAGCTGGCCGTCACTTCTCATTTGGGTCAACGAACTTAAGACTTTCGACATTATCGAAGCAAAGCATCGCCAAAACACTTGCTGGCTGGGCTCCTTTCCTTTCTAATCAAGGCACCTAAAAAATAAAAATAAAATATCTTAATTAGACGTGACTTCTCCATATAAATCCATGAAGTAAGGGGGTAACATGAAAATAGATTAAACAACATTTTTTTTAATTTATAAGGGGTAATATATTATTAAATCTATAGTATAATATTAGTGAATATTGTGCTGCTACGATCGTAAAGATACGATACTAGCGATTGCGCCGCTAAAATATTCGGGTTGTATTAAAATTAACCGTGTAACTGTACTGTTAATTTCGCATGCATGTTGATGTGGTGATTCAAAATCGACAACTAAACACACGTAAGAAAATATATTTAATTACTTATAAAGCGGGTGTCTGGTTTGTGGGTTGCATCTCACAGATTTTATTGCATGTATGGGGCATGAGAAAAATTATACTCAAAAATCTTAATTGTTTGCGCTAAGTATTCGAAGGGGATTTGCATGAAAACCAAAATCCAACCGATTACTGTTGGGGATTCGAAACAGTCAATCCAGTCGGTACCCTTCCGGATCTTGTGCTAAGAGAAATTACGGGAAAGATAAACATGAAAACACACACTAAATTTAACGAGGTTCGGCAACGTGCTTACGTTCTCAGGAGCCACACCACATAATTCTTTAATTAATTGAAGAAGATTACAACGCCAACAAAAAGGTTTTTTTAATCTCTCTGAGATCTCTCTAAAAAATCTTTTCAAACCCCTCTTTTTCACGTGTCCTACAAACCCTAGAAACGTTTAGGTATATATAGGATCCAAGCCCAAAATAATTTCCAAAACGAATTAGGAAACTGGAAAAAACTAACTTCGGTCGGCCGGACCATGCTAGTCGGTCGACCGGCCAGAGCGACAACTTCCTACAGGGTTGCCGTGCATGTTTTCGATCGATCGGAATGCTCGTGTCGGTCGATCAGTCAGAGCGAGTTTCTCACGCTTGTTTCCTGCAGATGTCCCGGTCGACCGGACTAGGTTTTTCTTGTTTCCTTCGTTTGTTTGATTTCAGGTTTGGGTCTCCACACCCGAGACCAACAATTACTTTATTACACAATAATTTTGTCAAGAATATCTAGCTGAAATTGGGGATCCGACTAAATTCAACGGAGTTTTTAAGAGATCATATCTGATACATCTATCCAGCAAGACCACTCTTTATATCTGGTACATATAATAATATATTTGATAAGAACATAATATCGTAATCTTATAGACCCCATTTGTCTATATATAGTCGCATACATGATTTTCTATGGAGGCAGCTTCATAGAATGTTTGCCCCAAAACAAGACAAGTATGCACGCCGTCCACACGTAAAGACCTTTACCCATTTTCTCGTGTGGACCCACACGCCGTATCCAACCAACTGTTGAAAAGAGGAGCGAGTCCCAAAATTTAGTCGTACATTGCGGTCCGTGGCCTCGGGTCCAACAAAGAGAATTAGGACAGCAGACGTATTATCAGTAGAATTTAATTAAAACATGTATTTGTTGTTGTTGTTTTTTTTATTCTTTCACATTTTCTGTTTTTGTATTTTTATTTTGGTCAACGACACAACAATAACAGCGTCGAGCTGCCACCTTTTTCATAGTCGGCGTTCCTATCTTTTTTTAACAGTAAAAAAAAAATTTAGTTTTTAACGTTTGGTAACATATTTTCAAGATATTAACAACCGTTAGACAGTTATAAGTATCTGTGTCGATTTTAGTAAATCAGAAAAAGCTTTGAATTTTTAAAATAGGCGCTTTCCCTCCTTGTTTTAGTTTCTTACATTTGGTACATACAAAGAAGTGGGGTCCATAAGAATTCATGATTTCTCTCTGCAATTTATAAGAAATTGTTAAACTTTTTAGTGTATAGTAGTACAAGAATGGTACAGTTATCATTACCCAAACAAATATTTTACATAATCACAGTCACAGACGAAGAAAAAAAAAAAAACAACTCATTTTGTTAAAGACAAATTGCAGACAACCCTTCATCTATATCTTTTGCTGCATTTACCACCCATCAAATATTTTATAAACATCTTGAATTCACAGGGGGAGCGAGAGTTACGCAATTTATTCTTCTTTAGGTGCTCGAAGTATAATCGGACAAAATGATAATTGAAACTAAAATCTAAAAAGAAATGATACTAGTACACACTCAGTCACATCACAAGTCAAAATTTTTTCAAGTGGGAGCCCTGTACTGTAACAAGAGAGGGGGTGCGATCAGTGATGTGACTGAGGGTGTGCTGTAGCGCCACTCAAATCTAAACTATCGTCACGCTAGTCAAGTTGGTAGGTGCGAATCTCACTATTGTTATTTCCGGCAGCTACTTTCGCTACCCAAGGTGTCCCTCGTATCTGGCGTCCCCCAACAAAAAAAAGGAATGGACAAAAATACAAAAAGTGACAAGTATTTTCTGTAAAACAGTTAAATGTCAAAAGGATGCATCTGTAAATTTACCTTTTTTTTAAGTCTCTCCCTTCCAAGCTGTCGAAGCTCACGATAGAAGGGTCCCCCACAACTTCCCAAAACCGAACCCCATTCTCTGAAAATAGCACTCCACCAACACGACAATAAAAGATAATGCAAAAAAAGTTTTCCTCTTTTCTAAATTAAAAAAAACAATTCATTTATTACGAACTTCCCCCAACTTCTTCCCCCAATAAATCTCGCACCTTTCCTTGTAATAACTCAAATTTCCAATTTTTGCCCGATTCCGATGGTCATCTCACCGGAGCAGAACCCTAAGTCGCCATCGCCGCGGTCAGCGCAGCTGCGGTTTTCCTGCTGCTGCTGCTCGCTTGCTACTTGCTCGCCGGAGGTGCTAGGGTCCCGGAGGCTGTCTCCGGCGGAGGCGGAGGGTGGAGGATTGGGCTGGGGATGGCGAGGGTTAGGAGTGGCAATTTTAGCAGTTATGAGCTTGGTGGAGATTGCGATTTGTTTGAAGGTGAGTGGGTTTGGGATGAGAATTATCCTTTGTACGATTCTAGGGATTGTGAGTTCTTGGATGAGGGCTTTCGATGCTCGGAGAACGGGAGGCCTGATCGGTTGTATACCAAGTGGAGGTGGCAGCCGGCGGGGTGTGATCTACCAAGGTAATAGATTTCTGTTATTGATTCTGTTTAGTTCGAGGATTCGTGGTTAATTTGGTGTTGGGTAATGGGGGTTTTGGTTTAATGGAAGAGGAAAGTTGTTGATTTTGAGATTTGATACGTTGGATTTGGGTAAATGTGAAGGTTAAGGTGTAGTTATTGTGCAATTTATGAAGCCATATGCTCAGTTATGAGAACTGATGCTATATTTGCTAGGTAATGAATTTTCGTTGATTAGGAAGGAAAAAACCCCCCACAAGTCACTGAATCTGATAATTGATACATTTGATTTATATAAAAGTTTTTAAGTCTATACCGTGTTGTTTCTGCGTCTTATAAGAGTAACCTCGTGAACTTTTTTTCTTCTTTTTTTTTTCCTTTTTTTGGAGGGAAAATATGATGATATAAACTATTCCCTTTTGAGTTACTTGTCTAAGCTGAAATTTTTTCCCTTTTGAGTTCAGAATTGATACGATTTTCGAAAATTACTTGCTAGCTAACGAATACGTCTTTTTTTTTCTTTAGAGAATTAACCAACGAGTTATTGATTTTGATATTTCATACATCTGATTTGTATACAGTTTTCGAAGCTTAATATGTTGTTCTGCAGCATATGGAGTTTTTCCCCCTTTTCCCCCCTTTTTCTGATATTTCATACATCTGATATCCTGTTTAGGTTCGATGCGAAGAAAATGCTGTTTTTACCCCTTAATATGTTGTTCTGCAGCATATGGAGTTTTTACCCCTTTTCCCCCCTTTTTCTGATATTTCATACATCTGATATCCTGTTTAGGTTCGATGCGAAGAAAATGCTTGAGAAACTAAGGAACCGGCGGTTGGTTTTTGTAGGAGACTCCATTGGCCGGAACCAATGGGAGTCTCTCCTCTGCATGCTTTCCTTGGGTGTTGCTAACAAGAGTTCAGTGTATGAAGTGAATGGAAGCCCGATAACAAAGCACAATGGATTCTTGGTTTTCATGTTTAAGGACTATAACTGCACAATTGAGTATTATCGGAGCCCGTTCCTTGTGGCTCAGGGTCGGGCCCCACCTGGATTACCTGAAAAAGTAAAGACCGTGCTCATATTGGATTCCGTTGATTGGATGTCCTACAAAGCGAGATGGCGGGATGCTCATGTGCTTATATTCAATACTGGTCACTGGTGGAACTATGAGAAAACTATCAGAGGGTAATTTCTAATTATTACGTAAAATTATATTATACTTATACACCCGTGCATATACATTTTTTAGAATGTAATACATACACGTAACTTGTTTACTTTTCATGCTCCTTATAAAGGTTGGAATTGAGTATGATATAAGATTTAGGAGCAAACCATCAAAAAAACTATGAGGAAGTATGTCTTAAAATCAACTTCATCTTACATTCTTACTAGATTTTTTTAATTTTATTTTTTAGATTAATTTCAATTCTTTTTAAGAGGATGATATTTTTCAAGAGGGAAAGTTTCTTATTATCATATACATTAAATATACTTGTACATCCATGGACACATTTTTGGAATGCATATATGTACACAACTATTTTTGATGCTCCTATACTTAAGCTATTTCATGTGCCATATAAAGGTTGAAATTGAGTATGATGTAAGACTTGTCAGAGGAGATTATGCTTCTGAAAAACTATGAGGAAGTATATTGCAAAATCAACTTTATCTTACTTGATTTCAATTATTTTCTCAGAGGATGTTATTTTCAAGAGGGAAATGAGGTGAAGATGGAAATGAGCGTGGGAAGTGCATATCATAGATCTATCATGACATTGTTTGATTGGATCAACAAGGAAGTTGATAAAAGTAGAACTCAGGTCATCTTTCGTACATATGCTCCTGTCCATTTCAGGTTAGTATAAACCTATCATTCTTCAGTTTTCATCTTCCGTTTAATTTCTAAAAATCATGTTCAAATGTTGATTTCCATATAAGCATTTGTTCTAGGGAATTAGCTGCAAATCTATCATTTCGATAGGACATGTATTACCAAAAACAAATTCAATGTTCGGTTGACTGCAAAAGTTGTTGAATTTAATTTTCATTGCAAATCAAGTGTTTCTGTAGCTTCTCTGTTAAATAATTACAGTTTATGAGTTGGATTGCAACTAAATAATGGATGTAGCATGTTGCAGTGTTTTTCTTCGAAATATATTGTTGCTAACCAAATATTAGAAGAATAAATGTGGTTGCAGCATTTGCTACTGCTGCTATTTTTCCTCTCAGTCAAACATCCTCTAATACTGTTTAAATACTCTACAGGGGTGGAGACTGGAGAACTGGAGGTAGCTGTCACTTAGAGACTCTCCCGGATTTAGGTTCATCACAACCCTCGTCAAAGGATTCGAAGTACTATGCCCATTTTCTGAAACCATTCAAAAACACTACATACTCTATCAACTCTCCAGCATTAGACATCGAAATCCTTAATGTGACTCAAATGTCAGCTCAAAGAAAGGATGGACATCAGTCTGTATACTACCTCGGCCCATCGGGCCCCGCTGCACTTCACAAGCAAGATTGCAGTCACTGGTGCTTGCCAGGTGTCCCTGATATCTGGAACGAGCTTTTATATGCACTATTATTAAGATCGGAACAAAGAAGAAGTTTGAGAGTCCATAGAAATGAACCTGAACAGAGGTGACATATTGTATGTAGTTCCGATGTTGTCATATTCTGGCACAAAATGCCTGGTTCTGTATGTCATGAGCAGAAAGCAAAATGCAGAAGTTGGTTTACCCGTGTAAATATACAGTTGGAATCTGTATGTCCCGACGATGAGGTATATATGAAATTGAAATTGTAACGGTACAACCGTACACGTACATGTACTGATTTTCCATACTTTTGAGTATCAAAAACCAGATGACCATAATTGCAGATAAACCCCTTGAATACAGCTTTCGTAGGACTTACCACCCCTCGATAATTTTGGCTGAGCAGCTACCACCCCTTGGTAATTTTAGTAGAACCTGTACCCCTGAAGTCTCATTTTGAGGGATGAATTGTTCGTAACCCCGTATCCTTCATGAATTTCCGGGTGTTGAGATCCTATTAAACTAACAGAGGGTGATAAGTGCTACTAAGTCAAAGATGAGGGGGTTTATTTGCGATTTACTTGAGTTTTTACGAACATGCATGGAGAGTGCTGTAGGTGTAGAAAAGATATTCCGATAATTCGATGCCGTCTGAGATTGGTACTAAAGTAATTTTCCGTTTTAAACCTAATATATAAGTATTTTTAAACAAGTCCCGCAAGTTTATAAGTTCTTTTAAATCCCAAATTTAAGAGTTCTTTTATATAAGTTCCCTAGATAAAAAACCAGAGTATTCCTTTTGGATCTAAAACTAACGGGACCAATCAGGAGAAAATATAACATGTGACATTTTCTAACCAAGATCAATGGCTATCATAGAGATGCATTAATCATCCCATGATTTTGGATCCAAAGTTATTTCTCCAGAAACCACCGGCTTACTCCAAGTTAACTAAATTCCATGTTGCAGAGGGAATTAAATGAAAAAAAATATATATCTCTGTCATTTCAAAGATATCTCCATGGATAAATTCCATTAAGCTAGCAAAAATAAAACAGAACTAACCATGCCAACAATAGAGATGATGCCATGCAGGAAATTACGGAATCATCTCTACCATTTTAAAGATAATTGTAAAAAAGAAAATACAACTTTGTAAAATAAATTATAGTGATATTCGATGACTTAATGAAGGCGTATCATTAAAAACATTAAACTATCCAAAAACACGACTATGATCATACTCCCTTTAAAAGTACGAGTTCGGGAAAATTTTTTGATAGACAAAAATACCCTTAAAATTCAAATACTGATCCATAGACCTAAATTATCAAATCCCGCTTCCTTTTAACTAACCTCCAATCAAAATTTTCGTTTATAGACTGATATCTAATATGCATGTATATTATTCAATTATCTCATACTTTGGCGAGATTTTTTTTTGAAATGTTATACACTTTTGCATGTAAGCCCTTCATATCTAGCTATTTTCATGTTTACTTAATCCTAATGCTAGGAGAATTTTAGATCAATTCAATTTAATAGTCTTTATGAATTTGTTTTATCTTTTAAGCAGGAGTTGGATTTGTTCATTATGTATATTATTCAATTATCTCATACTTTGACGAGATTTTTTTATTTTTTTATTTTTGAATTGTTATAGCGACTTTTGCATGTTAACCCTTCAGAGTTGGATTTGTTTGTTATATCATTGTAGAGTTACTATTATCATAGAATTTTTAATAGACCACGTACCTTATATATATTGCTCATCTTGCACCCGCGAACATAAATGCAAACAAATTAAGTAAGCCCTAATTAAGCTTGTTGAATATTATTATTTAAATAGAACTCTATTTATAATTGTTATCCTCTCTCACATGTAACATAACGTACCAATATATATAAACCAAGAAATTACAATAATTTTCTTAGAACATTCGTCTCCTTCAATAAGTATGTATCTTTGTTATTTTCTTCTTATTAGGTTATTAGATTATTTTAAGGTAATTAATTATATTGTATGTTTGTATATTTCATCTTTTTTAAGATCAAAAAATTGTAACAATTTTCACAACACTTTCATCTCCTTCAACATGTACGTGTCTTTGTTATTTTCTTCTTATTAGATTAAATTAGATTGTTTAATCAATATGCATGTATAATATTCAATTATCATATGCATGTAGAACCAATATATGCGTTTAAAAAAATTAAGAAATATTTTTAAATCCTATATCTTGATTATGGGCAGTGTTATATGTGTTAGGAATCTTGACCCCAAGATTAGTTTATTTTGATGATAAAAAATATTATATTGTGTGTATTATGTGTTAACATTTGTTTTGCAGTATCAGAGCTATATCAACAATTATTTTTAAAGAGATACTCAAGACATAGATGAGTTCAAGGCAAAATGAAGCAAAGAAGAAAATATACTTTATTGTCAAAATGTAATTTTATATTTTCTTTGCTTAGAAATTTGTACAAGCCTTGATCACTCACACACATGCACACACATAGTGTTAGAACACACTAACACATGCTTAGTGTGTTGGTTAACAATAGAAATCCCCTATGTTAGCCATTAGAGTTTATAAATATTGGGTGAGTCTTAAAATATTTTATTTACACCCCTTATCAATTAGAATCTGGAAAAACTCAAAAGATCAAAGTTGTAGGTCTCTTCAAGAGCTTTCCAACAAATCTTAAATCATCTCATTCCGATATCGGATGAGAAAGTTACAGTCAAAATACTAAATAGAAAAATTCCAGAATCTGAGTTTACAATGTAGTCGACTACTATGCCTTGTAGTCGACTACTGAGCAATTTTCTGACTTCACAGAGTCTGTTTAAACTCAGTGTAGTCGACTACTATGACTTGTAGTCGACTACAGATGCAGTTTTTTTTTCAGATTTCAGGTTTTAAATAAGTGACTGTTTATAGCCGTTTTGTGGACGTTAATTGGGTTTAAAATTATGTCATTTCAGAGGCTATAAATAGGTTTAAACATCAGAAAAAAAACAACTAAGTTTTGCACTTGCAAGATCAAACATTTTGTGCATATTCACTCTCTAATTTTCCAGATTTTCATGCTAAGTGTTTAGAAAAAGAGAGTTTCTGATATTGCCTTGGTTTCAATCATTCTTAGAGATTGTATAGGCAATATTCAGAGAGTTAAAAGAATCCTAAGCCACTGCAGCACTTCACTACACATTCAAGGCTTATAGGATCAATTGTATTCTTGCTTCAAAAAGGATTTCTCTCGGGTTTGAGAGGGTTGATCTCTTGGTTTAGAGATTGGGTGGCAATTGGCATGGTCTTGTCAATTGGTGTTGCAATTTGCATGGTCTTGCAAATTGGTCAGGTTTGCTTTTGATTTTGTAAGGTTTCAAAATCATAGTGGAAATCTCAAGCGGGATTTGCTTGGGGACTGGATGTACACCGGGGAGGTGGAACCAGTATATATGCTTGTGTTTGTGATGTTTATTTTCTGAGATTGTCATTCTTTCTTTGCAATTTATAATCTACTTTGCAAACTCACACTCTAGTGTTTAAGTGTAAAGCTTCCGCAGATTTTTATAAGAGCGCATTCTATTCTTAAGGGTCACGATCCTACACTTGGTATACATAAGCAAAATCAGACCCTACAATATGTATATGCACGAGTTCGTGAAAATATTTTGGTAGACAAAAATATACTTGGAATTCAAATACTAATCCATAAACCTCAATTATCTAATCTCGCTTCCATTTGGCTAACCTCTAATAAAAAATTCCCCTTATATATATTGTTCATCTTGCACCCGTGAACATATATGCAAACAAATTAATTAAGCACTCATTAAGCTTGTTGAATATTATTATCTAAATAGAACTCTATTTATAATTGTTATCCTTTCACATGCAATATAACGTACTAATATATATAAGCAAAGAAATTACAATTATTTTCATAGCACTTTCGTCTCCCTCAATAGTTATGTGTCTTTGTTATTTTCTTCTTATTAGATTAGATTAGATTACTTTAAGGTAATTAATTATATTATATGTTTGTATGTTTCATCTTTTTTTTAGATCAAGAAATTGTAATAATTTTCACAACACTTTCATCTCCTTCAACAGGTATGTGTCTTTGTTATTTTCTTCTTATTAGATTAGATTAGATTGTTTAATCAATACGCATGTGTATTATTCAATTATCATATGCATGTAGAACCAATATAAGCGTTTAAAAAATTTTTAAAAAGAATATTTTGAATCTTATATCTTGATTCTGGATAGTGTTATATGTATGCCACAAGCCAAGTAAAGAGATATTCCCTCTCAGTTTTAAAGAGTAAATTGCATAGAACATCCTAAAAGTTAAGGGTATTTTCCATGAAAGCCCCTAAACTTTCCAAAAATTTTCTAGAAACCCCTAACTTAACATCATCTATACAAGACTATAAATGAACAAGAAACCTCTCTGTGATAAATAAAAAAATTATTATTTACATATTTTGGTTGCTTGCGATTTTTTTATGTTAAATGATTATGTAGCTAGCAGAGTACTGGGAAGTACTTAAAAGTGTCACGTGACATATAATTACCCTTATTAAAAGTCAAATGATACTATTCTTGATTCTCTTTTCACTTTTCTATGAAAAAAATTGGACACTATCCCTTGAAAAATATGAAAAATTACAAATACCTAAAAAAGCAAAAATCACAAACACCCCTCTGAAAAATATGAAACTATAAATGAATCCTTTAAAATCTAAAACTTACTAACAACTCCTTTAAAATTTCAAAAATTACACGCTACCTCCTTAAAAATTTCAAAAACTATAAGTAGGTCCCTAAAAAATACAAAAATTATAAATAATTTCTTTAAAGATTTAAAATTTTCCCATAGATTCATATTGGTTCAATGTTTTAGTAATGTAATATAATAGGAGCATAGCAATATTGCAGCATGAGATACTATAGTTGTGATTTAAATCTGGCAAGACTCTAGATTTTTTAGGTTAGTTGTATGTAAGTGTACAATATCTTTTTTATTTTAGAATATTTTTGTTATCCTAAGAATAAAGGGCATATTTTTAGTTCATGCGGGGTTCAGATATTTTAGACATCAAATTGTTTAGCTGATCATAGTATAAATTCATTGGTTTTAAGCAAAAAAATTACTATGATGAAGCGCTTAGCGTTCTTAGAATGGTTAACTGACTGCATATGAATTATTATATGAAATCTGACTTTATCTCTTGCGACGTTCTGAATGTTATCCTTCATGTCTGAAATGTTGACGGTGGCAACAAATAGGCCAATATTGCAACTAGTAAAAATCATCCTAGATTACTTGAAATCGAAGCGTTGTTCAGTCCTGTGTTTTTTGTCCTTGTTCCCTTAAAACTAAGAATAGTATTTGTCAAGTACTCTCTCTTTCATTTAAATAAAGCTCCCCCCATTCTACATATATAATTAAGTTCTCAATCTTATATAATACTCTCTATCACTCAAAGAACCTACTCATACTTCACTCATGCACCGGCCAAACTTACAAGTGCAGTTTTGCAGTTAAACCCCTCATACTTCTAGTTTTGCATGATACCTCCTATTGACTTCCTAAATGGACCAAGACCCATATTATCCATATATCACCTTAATAAAAAAGAAATTCTAATTGTAATCAAATATTTGATAATCCTAAGATGGAGCATTATAATTCCCTCCATCTAAAAAAGAAATTCTAATTGTAATCAAATATTTGATAATCCTAAGATGGAGCATTATAATTCCCTCCATTTGTTCAGACAAAAGATATATAAGTCAAATATTTGATAATCCTAAGATGGAGCATTATAATTCCCTCCATTTGTTCAGACAAAAGATATATAAGGTTATTCTTAGGGGGTGTTAGTAAATTGGGACATTTTCATGCAAAATGGGATAATTGTTAAAGTGGAATAATATTTTGCTAGTGGGATATTTTAGTGGGATAACTAGGAATAATTTTGTGAAGCAGGATATTTTGATAAAATAACGTGGGATAAATTTTTATAATCATGAAGTATATATTTATGCATTTTGAAGATATAAATACTATTTATGTATTTTAAACTTACTATTATTAATTGATAATTGCTTACAAGAATGTTCGTTACTATTAAATAACTTTTGGTTAGAGTATAAGATATTGACAATTATTATTATGATGATGGTCTAATGATGGTGATAACCATAATAGGAAATAAGTAAAGAAAAAAAATAAAAAATAACAAAATAAATACGAGTTCTAGTTTTTTACCACATAGTTCCAAGCTAAAACTTGGAATAATTTGAGAGACTAGAACTCTCATTTTTGTATAGAAAAATAAAAAAGTGGGATAATTTTGTACAATTATCCCAATTCTAGTTTTGTTAAAGTTCTGCTTGACTAACACTGTAAAATTTTATTCTAGTTTTAGTTCTATGTGACTAACACCTTAAAATTTTGTTCTAGGTTTAGTTCTATGTGACTAACACCTTAAAATTTTATCCCACAGATTATCCTAGTTCTAATTTTAAGTTTTAGGTGACTAACCCCCCCTTAAACAATTAACTTTTCAAACATGGCAAGCAACTGACCTTGTTAAACAGAAAATCTAGAAAAAAATTCTAGAAAAATTTATATCAATTCACATTAATTTGGATTCTTTTTATTTGGTCAAGTAGAAGATATGTACAACATTCTTGAGCAATTAATTTCTAAAGCACACGTGAACTAACAATGTTAATTTGATAAATTTCTGCCAAGTATTTTTGGGGGTTTAGTGAGAGTTTCAAAGGTAATAGGGGTTTAGTGTTAGATACTCAACTTGTTTGGGGTTAATTACACATATTTTATTTTATAAAGATACTAGATTAGTTGCTACATGTGAAAACCTTATATCTATTAAAGAATAAATTAATTGTTCAAATGGGTTTGATATCATAGTCCTTTATATGTAAAGTTTGGATTTCTATTTAGTGTCTAAAATTGTTTAATGTAATATTAAATATATAGGACAGAATCTCTTAACAAAAAGGGTATCCTATTTTCTCTGCGGCATAATACCAAAATAAGGTAGAGGAACAAACTTAAGTATGAAAAAGGCAATAAAAAGATAATTCACATGCATATACTCAAAGAAATATACTATAGTTGAGTCAATAGTTTTTGATGATTGAGTAAGTCAATAGTTTTTGATGATTGAGTAGATATAATAGGGCTTTTTCAATATTAGTCCATAAATCTTTTAACATTTAACCACGTGCATTACACGTACATAGAAACTAGTAATTTAAAACACCCCACTTCCTTTTTATTGACGATGTAGAATGAATGTTGAGAGAGTAGCCAAGGAGGATAGGAATAAATATGATATCCAACCTAGTGAAACACCTTTCCGGTCCTTTTTTTTTATATACGGATAAATACATCAGATCAAAAAATCGCCAAATGTTCGCGGTGTACGCTTGCTAAGGATGCATATGAAGCATCCACCACCACAATACTTCTGGTTTGTATCATGAACATCAAATATGGGACAAATCAATAAGAACCCATGAACAGTCATACAATGAAATGGCATGAGAATAACAGCAAAGTATTACAAATACCCAAGAGAACAAATACCTTGCAGATACATAAAATTGGATAAAATAAGGAAAATACATCATTATTGTGGAGTCGAGGAAAGGATTTGGTAAATGATAGATGGCTTCTTGGAAGCAAATGCGTAACATTTCCTTTACAAATGAATGACGATAAAGACCAATTGTTATATGGCTTTATCTATTTTACAATAAAATAAATGATGCTCAAGACAAATTGATAAGAATCAATACAGTCACACAAATAACTTACATGACCACGAAAGAATGATAACAACAAATGATTACATATACTCAAGCAAACAAATAAGCGCAAGTTTACAAAAATCGGGCAAAATACATCGATATTGCGGAGTTCAGGGGGGGAAATTGGGAACATAGATGGCTTCTTCAAATTCAAAGGCGTCACTTTTTCTCCATCAATGAATAACGTTCACAGCCAATAATTGTATCGATTTACGCTCTCTTGCACAGAAACTCCCATGTTAAATACAGAATCTCCAGATTTGCACATCACCAAGCCTCATCCTGATTCTTCTTGAACTAACTGACAAGCCTCATCCTGATTCTTATTGGACTAACTGACATGTATATGTGGCAACGCAGGAGGATCACAACTTACCCGGTTTGCCCAGAAATTTGCAAGCGTGAGACAGTAAAAGTCTCCATTCCATCTTACAGTGTTCATATCTGTTTCATTTTGATAAGAAAATTACCTTAAAAGAAACTATTCAACATATCCCTGAAATTTATAAGTCACAGAAACACCACCTAAAATTTAGTAGTGACAGTTTGATCCTTTGTTTCACATTTCAACAAATTTCATTTCTGTGCACAAACTATAATGACAGGTGTAACAATTATCTATAGTCACATATTACTGAAAATTGATTTAATATTTTAAATCGATAAACTGATGATTATTTGCCTAGAAATTGGGAAAGAAGGGGTGACACCATTTTTTAAATCTATCCTACACGCCATATGAGGATATCTGTAATCCAGTCTAAAAACAACTGAATTCCTATCTAAAAATTTCAAAAAATTACCTCCGAGCTTGTCCACTGGCAACAAAGACAGTTTACAGACTATACTGTCTTTATTAAAACTCTGGTTTTGAAAAGTAGTCTCGTCAAGAAGTTTGGAGGACTTGACTGCCATTTTGATCTTATAATTTGTTGCAGAAGTAGAGATGCTGTCAACAGCTTTTTCCAAGCCAGAAGTTGTCCATGACTCTGCACACTTTTTAAGGCAACTCACTAATTCCCTTGAACAATCCTCTGGATTTGATAGTATCCAAGGTTTGTAAAGTTTCAAAGAGGCTCTCAAAATTTTTGCTACTCTGTAAATTTCTACGAGAGCAGCAAAATATCTACTACCTGAAAGGGAAGGGAAAAAACATGCGTTATTATGAAGGATAGGCACAATATTGTGCAATATGATAAAGGTTAGCAATTAGAAAATGAAGCACGATGATTCATTAGCTGAAATAGCACTGAAAGTGCACCTCGAGATAATATTTCTTCAGAAACATTTTTGACAAGGGATTCTTTCCAGATCATGGTTCCATGCTGCAACTCTTTTGTACATGCAAGAGCCATTGTAGACCATGCAGCAATATAAGCCTGCTGCTCCTCTGTAGATGCTAGCCTCAATATATGTTGTACTGAGGAAGCATGTCTAAAAAGCTCAATTGATGCGCTCAAGTCCTTCTCTGCCTATTGTATTGAAGAAGTTAGTCTGATATGAAAATCAAGGTTATTATGAAAATTAAAGTTAAACAGAACAGAACACATTTAGGCGCCTAACATTGGATTAGGAGCGATTCTATTACAATAAAATTCAAACTTGTCATTTTTTCATGCAAACAAGAATGTTCTGTTTTCGCAAGAGAGGTAAAATAAGTTTTTAAATAGAGGTCATGAAATGTACCTTTGACAAAAATAAACATTTGCTAGATCAGTAGCTGATTGACGGAAGTGGAAGAATGTTTTCCAGCATCGTAGTAGCGTTTGAGCGTATGCTCAAGAAATAATGTGGATGAGGAGGTTCATTTCAAAATGTCAATTGTGATATGCTACTTTGTTTCGGTGAATAAGCTTCTTTTATTCAGAAAACAGTGCAAGAACTTGACAGAGGCTCCGATAGTATTGTTGTAGTGTAAGACTAAGGCAACATAAAAGATGGAAAGAAAAGTTTCTCCAAGAAGAGAGAATTAGGAGTATGCTTCAAAATGTCGTGAGTGAAGAACTACGCAGCACAGGCATATATCAAATGAAGCTGTGTCTATGTCAGAAATGTGTTAGACATCAACATCTCTCGGTCTTTCTTCAAAGACATATAAGCTATTTTCAAATTTGTCCTCAATTTTACAATTTATTATTAATTTCAGAACTTTCTAGACAGTTCCTGGGCACATTTCTGATGCTTCCTTTCACAGGCTATTTTCATACATATTACCCTCTATTCTCTAATATATGTATATACTAAATATTTCAGGATATATTTAGGGGAACAAGGTATCAAATAATAAACTTATAAAACCACATTAGTATAGGATATGTTTGAAATATGTGATCAAAGTACACTCCAAGGTACACTGCTAAAGATGTCATGGGACCTCCCTCAAGATCTCCGCATGCACGAACATGCACAATCATCTACACATGAGAGCGAATGCATTAGAAATCAACCATCTATACCAGATTTTAGCCAATGACCATGCAAAAGCTCTGAAGACTAACTTTTCAAGGCTGACTCTTGGAATGAGTTCTGCTGCATACATTTCTAACTATAAGGAACAATAAACAGGTTGATATCTCAGTAGAAATACAGCACAACAATAGTATAGTACTTCATCCTATTAAACATATACTGCCATAAAATATGTGATAATTATGTAACTTAGACTAGTAACATGTTCATCATCTGGAAGTACTAGTCAAACCAACAAAAAAATATTAAAGCCATGGAAGAAATGTGTAATGGAGGTTTTTTGAGCATTTATTCTCCCCAGTGATCTTGGATGAATCTCACATAAATAATAGCTATAGACTGTTCCGTTTTTACAGTTACGGTTGGAGGAATGTAAGTAAAAAATAACATACTGATAAGATTCTTTCTGATAAGCAATATTCTTCTTCAAGGCATTGGACATATGGTTCTCTTGTAATTTCAACAAGTCGATGAGCACATGCAGCTTTTGATAAGTGTTTTCCAATGTAATCATCTTCACAAATTTCTGCTTCTTGCAACACCTTACAAACTGCCTGGCACAGTAACAAGAACCAACTATGAATCAAATATCAAATGGAGGGAAAATAAAAAAGAATTCCAAAGATAAAATGAGAGAGAGATTTCTAAGTATTATGCACTCAGGAACTCAATTTACAAACTGATTAATATCTGCCTAACAAAAGAGGATCAAATACAGAACATTTGTAAATCATCTCATGGTTCAGAAATTATTTGCATTACCGTCAAGGCTTTCTCCATTATAAACCTCACTTGAACTAAAATATTTGACAAAATTAAAATTGTCTCTCAACCAAAAGCTTATCTTCTGAATAGTTACCAGGTCATTAAGCAATAAAACAATGGACTATCAAAGATCATGACACAAAACACTAAGGATCCTGGTAATGCAATCTGCCACATTGGTCATGTTGTTTAAGTTGTGCAACAGACTAGCAACCTCCAAAATTCTCCTAGACCAAGACTTGAAAGAAAAGAAAGATGATGATAGCTTATATTAGAAAGAAGAATAAGGATTTTTAGAATGTAAATGACTATTACAGAAAACCATTGTTCCTTTCAAGAAAATTAATAAACCCCCTGAAGTTTCAGGAACATCATTTAATCTGTCTGTAACTTGTAACCCCTTATTGTGGTTAGCTATGAAAATAAACCCGACAAATTACATGGTAGATGTAGGAAAATTAATAAATAACCGAAGAGAGTTGATGGATAACTGAAACACTTCGCAAAACTGACGTTTTACCTTTCGTGGATTTACCCGATTGTTCGTATTGAGGTATGGAATGGCAGAGCGGTAAACTTATCCAAGTGAAACTTAAGGAGGTCTGTTAGTTTTTAGCGCAAATTTAAGGGAGGTTTCCTGCAACTTATATAAATGTGTTTTTGCACCATTTCAGGTGTAGTCTATATTGCAGATATTGTTCAACACTACACTATGTTCTCTGTATATACTTCATCAAGGATAAACTAAAAATCACCAAAATGAAAACTTATCTATCCTGTCATCCTCTTGTGAGTTCTGACATGCATTGCTTCACATTGCTTAGATGAGAGAAGGAAATGAAAAAGGCATTCTAGCATAAAGTAGCATAATATTACATCAGACGAATGAAAGAGTACAATTGCATTGGAATTACAGAAAATATATAAGAAAATGAAACAATTCTAGAGCACCAAAATAATCAACTGGGTAAGAGAATATTGAATAGGGCTTACTGCATTTATAACTATGATGGCAATCTCAATTAGCAATTACTATTCTGGCTTTATCCAGAGATTGTCGACTGAAGAAGCCATTACACATGAAATATTTAGAAAAAGAGATCCACAACGGATTTAAAAAAGTGTGAACCTCATCGAGGAATTGGCAGAAGTTTGAAAATGATGCACTAATGAATACCTTGATATCTTGTGCTCCTAACAACAACAAAAAGTGTTTGTGCAATTATGATGATATATATGGTAGGGCAAGGATCAGTCTGAAGTCCAAATATAATTGCATTTCAATGTCCGTCAGAACAGTGAGAACAGGCCACATATCAGAGAAGGAAAAACACCAAAAAATCAATGGAAAAAAATTGCATAAAAAAGAAATTACCAAGTTTACTACCAACTAGCCAGTTGATGATCTCTGACAGGTAACAAGATCAACACAAACAATGGACCCCCATGGTTCTCCATTACTGATGTGCTAGCTGTTCGCGGAATTCAATTTTCTTTACTGTTACTTCCAGCATGCCAGACTGAGCAAGCCATGCAAAAAATCTATCTAACATAGAACTAAAATAACATACACACACAAACACAGTATTTTCCCCTTCATCATAAAATTCTCTGAAAATGAAAAGCACCTCAAATCAAATTTTCATTAAATCATCAACATATTTACAAACTACCTAAAACCAAGTTATATTCAACTGGATCCAATGTCTAGATTAACAAAATCAAAAGGTCTACTTGCTCTCCCAATAAGACTTAGGATAAGGAATTTTATGATGCTTAACCAACTGAGAGGATTCACATCCCTCCTTAAGATAGAAAGAGAAGTTGGTGGAATTTCTAAAGGCACATAAAATAAGACACAAGAAATACTATATTACAAATATCCATATATATGTGTACACCTAATCCTATATTCACCTAAAAATTCTCATCAAATTTAAACTATCCACAATTAGAAAACTCTAATAATCAATCTTTTGTAATTCTTATCAGATCCATAATTAAAACAATCTAATAATTATATATTTAAATATAGAAATTAAAGAAAAAACTCAAGTAAAGATTCTCTCCACATAAAATCACGGAATAATTTTAGAAGACCCCCTCAACTATTTTGATTTGAGGAAACTCCCCTCAAGGTTGCCGTCAACTACTAAAATTTGAGAGAACCCCTTGAGCTTTCCTTACTTAACCAATGTTTTAAATGTCGGATGTCGGGTTCATGTCGGTCGGCCAAAATTCATGTCGGATAGCGGAAATCGGGATATATCGGGGGACATGAAAAAAATATCGGATTGCCATATCGGATAGGTTGATATAATATCATAAATGAAATCTTCACATACTTGATAATTATATTGTCTAAACTTATGAAAAAATACATAACTTATTAATGTTAGGATCACTAACCAATTGTAGACACCTGATTCCCGAGTTGGGTTTTACAAACTTAACCCAATAAGCTTAAAATCGCTTTTTCTGAAATTTGACCGATATTTCTTGGCCGCAATGGCGCCCAACATACCCGATATTTTTCGACATGTCCCCGACATGACCTCAGAAACGCAATACGCATTGAAATGAAGGATATCGTGGCGGCTAGGGTATCAAACTGTCATATCGGCCACCATGTCCGACATGGCGGCCGATATTTAAAACACTGTACTTAACCACCCTCAAATATGGGGGGGTGTGTCTCAGCAAACCTCCCTCAACTATTTACTTTGAGAAACCCCCTCAAGTTTCAACTTATTGTAGATAAACCTCCCCTCGAGTTTGAAAATTTAAGAAATCACCATGAACGCTTCTCACTTTGCGTCCTGAAACGTAACATTATTAGGTCTAGCATGTCACATGACAAGTAAGCAATCGACAAAATACCAAAATATCCTCAATTATAAAAAAATAGTTAGTTTTTTTTGAATAAGTGAGAGAGGAGAAAGAGGGCAAAAAACATTGTAAATTCAAAATAGCTCCTTTTTTTAGCGCTTGGGGGTTTCTTTGTAATTGAATGTATTGATTTTTAAAAGGGCATGTTAGTTATTTTACATTTTCAAATGACGTCATGGGGCTTTGGTAAGAAAAGTGTATACGATTAGGTGGATTTTGTAAGACGCCACATAGTTGAGGATTTTCCAAGTTGATTGAGGACATCTATAATTTGCCCAAACTTTAGGGTTTCTTTCCCAAATTAATATTGTTGAGGGGTTTTCTAAAACATCCACTATTGTTGAGGCCTTGAGGGGATTTCTCTGATTTTCAAAATTAAGTGGGACTATCTATAATATGCCCAAACTTTAGGGTAGTTTTCTTAATTTAAAATAGTTGAGGGGGTTTTAGTTGCAATCCACATCCACATGTTTCTTTATCCAATCGGAAGATGACATGTGAACACCTAATCTTACATTCACCTAATAATTCTCATCAAATGGAAGCTATCCATAATTAAAAAATTCTAATAATCAGATGTTTTCTAATCCATATCATATTATAATTATCCATAATTAAAAATTTTCATAATTATATATTTAAATATAGAAATTAAAGAAAAAACTCACGTAAAGAGTCTCTCTACATAAAATCATGGATTATCTATTTAAATATAGAAATTAAAGAAAAAACTAACATAAAGAGTCTCTCTACATAAAATCATGGATTAATTTTTAAAAACCGGACCCTCAATTATTTTAACTTGAGAAAACTCCCTTAAATATGAGTATATTGTAAATAGGCACCCTCAACTATGAAAATTCAAGATAACCCCTCGAACATTTCTCACTTAACCCCCCCCCCCCCCCCCC